ACATGCTTTCTACAAGATGTAATGAAGGATGATTCTTTTTTTGTGTTTTTGTTCAATTAAAATTTTAAAAATTCAAAAAAATAATAGTATTTCTGGGTATTTTATTAGTTTTTTAATTTTTCACTTCCAGGTAGCAGTACACACAATAGGCTAGTACATCTGTGCTAGACTGCCCTCCTTTGCTCTGATTTAACAGCCTCTGATCGCTACTTCCAGGTTCTCAACAGAAGCTACACAGAAGGGGCAATGGGAACCTATTATCTATAAAGATCTTTGCTGCAAATCTTGCTCCAATGGCAGGGACCATTCCAAGCCAGTGAGAGACAAATGTTTATTGTCCAGGTGGGAAAGCGCAGAGTTAAAAAACAAGGAAGACCCATCACTACATTCCTTTCTCCAAAACCCTACTGTCAGACTTCTACCTTAGAACTGTAATAATGTAAAAAAATAATTAAAAAAGGACTGTTCACAGCAAGGCTATAATACTGACACAGAGATTAGGGTCAAGGAAAACTAGATTCTACAGGAGTGATGGGGGAGGGGGAGCTAAGACCAGACAGTTTTAATGAAAAAAGAGCTTAAGAAAAATAATTTAAAAAGATCCGGGTTTAGTTGGCACTGAATCATGAAGGCCTCATCAGCAATCAAGAAAACACCTGCAAAAAAAAATATGAATATTGAGGTAAGAAATACAGTTTAGATTTTGGATTTATGTTTTGCATAAGCCACAGTTTTAACTATTGTTTGTTAAACAACCAATAATCTGCTGCACACGTATGAACCAGAAAAAACCCAGACAAGGCACACTAAGGGTTGCCATAATGTGTGAGCTCACTATCTTAGCTGAGCCAGGAATTACAGCTGATGTTCCCCATATCTTCTTTTGTTAATTCCATTTTCAGTGCCATAAGAAGTTGGCATAATCAGTTCTTGGGGCTCAGATTTATGACAACAGCTGATCAGATCAGGTATAATACACACTATCCCTAAAATAGATATTACATACGGTATATTTCCCTGCAGCACAAGGAATTGTAGAATAAATATACACATATGGCCCCTTCTCCCCATTTCAAGGAGGCATCCAGACATGCCCTAGAGCCTAGACTTTCTTTGCCTAGACTCAATCATTCCTTAAGAACTTGGATGCACACATTCAATCTTTCCCAATCAAAAGCCCAGAGTTAAATACCAAGCCAATTAACTCACCAGCTCAACGATCTGTAGTTGTGCGCAAGTCTGTGGTCAGTGGATCATGTTGGATTGTCTGATGCAACATGAGGGCAAGCAACCCAGCCCGGTTAGTCATAGCCATCCGAACATTTCGTTCCTGCTCAAACAGCTCATCCAGCTTGTACCACTGCCAGTGAATAAAGACATCCTAGATTACCATCTACAATCTTGGGTCAACCCCAGGGAAACTATTCCTTTAACCGATCTTATAGAGAGAGAAGGCTCCCTGTTCACTCCTCGACATCTCCGGGTTGATCTGGAGCTGAAAAGCTGAAGAATTGATGCCAGCCCATGTGAAATATTCTGGACTAGAGAGGCTAGCGGTCCGATTTATGAAGTTATTGTTAAATAAAATGTTTAACAAAAGGTTAAGTCTCTGTGTTCCTACAAGATCCTGAACGTACCACACGCACTCGCTCCAAGTCCACCTCAGCCCGGCGCAACTTCTCCCAGCAGTAGTGTCGATTGCATTTACGTTTGGGCACCCGGCAGAAATCTCCAGTGAGCTCAAAAACATCTTTTACCATGGGGCAACCACACACCTCGTCTGCCGAAACCTACGAGAAAAAGCCAGAGTCAAGATTCAGCAGGAGAAAACGAGAGCTATGTCTACCCTGACCAAATACCACCCCGCATGCTATGACACCCCAAAGGCAGCTAAGGATAAGGTGCAATTCTAACAGTATTGGTGATACAGATTTGATCATTTACATAACTTATTCTGGACAGTACAGCCAGGAAATATTACTTCACCATGCCCCCAGTTAAAGGTACCACAGATACTGCCAGAATCTGAATCAAACTTAGTTGTACAGGTACAAATCTGTATCTTTATGTGTGTATGTGCATGTGTGTATATGTATACATGTGTGTTGTGGCCCAGCAGGAGTCATTGGAGCTGCCACCAGACTCCGACAGTGAGGAGCCCTATGAGTCGGCTCTGGAGGACCCTGGACAGGGTTCCGACTCTGAGCAGGGCGCAGAGAGGCTGGTTGGCCAACAGCCTGAGCCTTGGACCAGTGGGGAGGAGACACACATGTATACATATACACACATGCACATACACACATAAAGATACAGATTTGT